CCCCACCCTGTGCCTTGGCAGCCCTGTGCCCTGCTCGTGGGGTCCCTCCTTGTGCCCTGCACCTCTGCAGCACACCCCAGCCCTGTGCCCCTCCTGAGGGGACCCTATTGTCACCTCCAGGCTCGGACCCAGCCCCGGGGAGCATCCCTGCATGCTGCCCTCAGCCCTTCCCTGCACCCCCTGCCACTGCTTACTTCTTCCTTCTCTGTTACACCCCCCACTCCTGGGGCTCCCTCCGCTACCCTGACCTGCACCACAGCCCACGTGTGTCCCTCGGGGACCTTCACCTGTCTCTGCCCCAGTCACACCAAGGGGACTTCTCCACCTGACGCACAGTCCTGTCTCCTCTGAGCACCCCGAGGCTGCAGCCCGTTACGGTGCCCTGCCTGCTCCCTTGAGCTCTTACAGCTTTGGGACTGTTCTTTGAGCTCTCCTGTTCCCATTCCCGTCCCAAGTGCTGGCTTTATGGGGACAGCCCTGGAAGCAGCAGTGCCTGTAGTCTGGGCTGACGCCCCTGGGGTCCCTCAGCAGCATCACGGGGCTGTCAGGGGTCACCTTCTCCTGCCACAGCTGATGGCTGTGATGGTGACATCTCCGAAATGCTCCCTCCCTTCCTCTGCTCTCTTTGCTGCTTGTCAGACCCAGCTCTGCCAACGTGCAGTGAAGATGTGGAAAAATACTGGAGCCCTGCCTCCTCGATGCCCCTGCGCCCCCCAGCCTGCCAGAGCCAAAGCCAGCTCACCCCAAACCCCTCCTTCCACAAACTTGCGTGCCAGGACTCCCGTACGCTCCTTAGGGAGCTCAGTCTCCCCATGCCCCCCTGGCTGAGCCCCCCCCCCAGTGCAGGCAGCCTCCAAACCCTGTACCAGGCACAGGCTTCGTGCAAGGCTGCCGAGACCCATCCTCCCAGCAAACCTCTGGCTCTCAGACTGCCCCTGCCCTGCCTGTCCCCTCCGCAATCCTGGGGGGACGTGTCGGGGCCTGCCTGGCTCTCCCCCGTGCAGACCTGATCCTGCTCTCCCTTCACATTCCACACGCAACCACCCAAGGGAGCCCCTGCCAGAAAGGCAGTGTCCTAATTTCTGTATAGCCTGGGTGTTTCCTTTACGTGCCTTCGGGGGCACGACTCCCCGGGAAAGGAGCCAACTCTTCCCTTCGCTGAGTGCATGTCCAGCTGTAGCAAGTCAAGCTCTTCCTGGCAGGTACAGGGGTTTCCTGCCCCCCTTGCCGTGTCGCAAGCCCTGAGAAGAGATGGCGTGGCTTGGGGGGATAGCTCTCGGGTAGCTGTAGGTGCCCCCCATCTCTAGGTGGGGAGAGAGCCCCCCAACTTCCCTGCCATGGGGAGGGCTTTGCCTGCCCTGTTCCCGCTGCAGCCCTCTGAAGAGGGGAGCAGAGCTGGGCTTTCCATCCCAAGGCCAGAGAGCGGCAGTTTTGCTCCCCAAACCGGAGTGCATTTTCCCCTCCATCTGCCTTCCTCCTGACTGCCCTCCGGGCTGTGTTATCTGCTGGCCGCAGGCTCGGGCAGGGGCTGTGCTCGCTGCCTTCCCGAGCTTTGGGTCTGATATGGCACCGATAAATATTTTCAAAACAAAAGCCAGAGCTAGGTGAGTCTCCCAGGTCTAGCTTGCTCTCCTTCCCTGCCCCGCAGCATGCGAGCTGCGTGCTGGAGCTGCCGTGCTGTCACCCCGGCCGAGGTAGCCGGCACGTAGCTGTGCTGCCGTGCCATTCTGCACGACTGCAGCTGGGCTATTTACAGGCCTGCACAGATGCTGTGCCAATGTGCCGGGGCTCAGGGCACGGGGGGGATTAATCGGGGACTTTCTGAATTGGGAGCACAACTGTCGGGATACCAGGCGATGTCGGGTCTCAGCTACAGTGCGGAGCCTGCACCTTCATCATTTTAGTGAGATGTGGAATAATAAATTCAAGGGCAGAGTGCAAAAAGGAAGCTGAAAGCCTGGCACTGAGCCTGGAGGAGAGGCGTGTACTCGAGCAATGTGCTTGGTGCCCTGATACACGCACACCTTCGGGGCTTGTGCACGTCCACGTGCCCCTCTTGTTGTTCCTAACCCATAGCAGTGATAGAGCTGCCTTAAGTGAACCTATATAGGGTGTTGCTTCTTAGCATGTCACCCACAGGGCCGCTGACTCGCTGCCAGTGCTCAGCCGTGCTCGCAGGCTGCCCTGGCATCGCCACGCATGTTGCCATCAGTCCAAGCACCCAGGCTTCATGCTGCTGGTTCTCATCTCTCCGGCGCAGCCTCTTTGCACAGAGAGAGTCGGAGGTTACACGTGGCAGCGGGATGCTGGTTCTGCTGTCATTAGATTTTTTTTTCCCCGTGATGCTAAGCAAGTTAGTAACCTGTTAATGAGCTCCCAGGATAGGTCGTGGGAGGGCTGCTGCAGGGACGGAGAAGTTAGCGTGTGCCATCCTGTGTTTGGGCAGGGAGCGTGCAGGGATGCTCGCTTCGTGATGGAGAACAGGTCTGGCCTGTCATCTGCATCTCTCCAGCTCTTGACTGCTTGACTTCAGTTTGCTAACATCTCATCTTTAAGAAGCAGCTTGCCAGCTCTTTATGTTTAAAGCTGTTTGTTTTGAAGGCAGGAAGATGATTTAACAACTAAAACACTTTCAGATTATAGAAAGAAAATGAAGAAATATTACTCTTGGCTTAAGCCTCTCCTAGCAGCGCTCCACCCAAAGTGAAGTGCACGGTGCCTGCAGCTACTGCTGGGTCAGTGGTGTCCTCCCTGTGCTTGCTGAGGTTCAGGGACCAAGTTTTAAATCAGAGCCTTCGTTATGCTAAAAACAAACCTTGATTTGCTAGAGCCAGCAGGTCCTTGCTGCTGGTGAGCCGGTGTTTGAGCCGATTCTCTGCGGGAAGGGGCTGTCGGCAGCGCTGCTGTGTGAATGCTCTCGCCCTCCCACCTGCGTGCCCTGGCTTGATGCTCCTGGCCACGTGTGGGCACGGGGCACTGCCATGTTCCCAGTCGTGGTGCAGTTCCTGGGTGAGAAGAGCCAAACCCTCCTGCTCCCCATGATGGGGCTACATGGATGCTGAGGGGAGCAGGAAAGCAAAGCCCTGTGCCCTGCTGCAACGTTGCTGGGGTTTAGCAAATCCAAGGTGGCAGCAGCGGTGCGAGCTGGGGCTGTCCTGGCTGTGCAAAGGTCTCCGCTCCTGGGACGAGCGGCCTCTGCTTCAGTTTCCATGCTGTCATGCTAGTCTCACCAAAGGGTGACTCGCACTGGAGAAGCTGCTTTTTCTTGTTGGTGTTTTGGTCTCCAGAGCCAAGCTGTCCTGTGCTGCTCCCAGTTGGCCCTTGGGCTTGCGTGCTGAGCCCCCCTCCAGCACTTTGGGGGTCTCATTTGTCCCCTCAAAGTGCACCCAGTGCCCCATGTGTCCAGCCTGTTCACGGTCCCTCCCATCCCCCAGACCTAACCTTCATCTTCTGCTGAGGGCAGGGAGGTGCAGCCAAATCCTTCTGTTGTGCAGACTTTCATTTCCATAGCAGTAGCCATGGATACAGACTGTTTGTGCAAATAACCAATATTCCCACCCGCACCGATCGCTGACCGCTGCAGGCATGGGCGCCGGGCAGCCCAGGGCTTGGTGTCCCTGCTAGTCCTTGGCTTTACCTGCTGCTGGAAGCTTGCTTTCCCAGATGCTCTCTAGGGCTTTGCTAAAACAAAACCCAACTTTGTCAAATGGGTGGAGTTATTTAACTGCTTTCAAAACATTCAGATTCGTCTGTGTGACTTGTTAACTGTGGCAGAGGCGAGTGGTGTCCTCCATCTTCTCCCTTACGGTGCTTGAGGGTAAAAAAACTAGTTCCTAGAGCAAAATGATACCCTGGTTGTGTGTGCAGGCTCTGTCTGTCACCTGGGTGCTCTGTGCAGGTGATGTGGGGTCTGGCAGCGGGATTTGCATCCTGGCATTGGCTAACGGGGCCAGGTCTGCTGCCTGCGCTCCCCAGGGCATCCTGGTGTCTCACTGCCATGGCCCCATTTAGCCGATAGGATGCTGTTGCATTTCTCCACGTGTCTAGTTTATGTGCAAGAGAGTGGTTTGCCTTCCAGGGGGGTTGTGGAGTAAAAGCTAGATGCAATGAATTGGACCTGAGATGCTCTGAGCTTGAAGAGCTCGATGAGGTGTCTGGTGAAGGAAGAAGCTGTTGGGGACATAATATTGAGTAGCAGCACTAACAAGCGAGGCAACAGTTGTATTCATAAGCGCGGCTGAGATTGCACTTAAATATTGTTTGCTACTTGGGCCTCCAGTTTCCTGTCTTTAAAGACGACTTGGCTCCTAATGAAAGCTGTATGAAGTGGCAGAGCTCCCCTAGCACAAACACAATGCTTAAACGCACAAATTTAGTCTGAGAAGAGCCAGCATGCTGCAAGGCTTTGACACTGGTGTGACTGCTCTTAGCGAGGCTGTACTGGCACAGCGTTAAGGGATGTGATTTACTCCCCGCTTGCAGTTATGCTAGTAAAACGCAAGGTATAAGCCAGCCTTTGCCTACTGCAGCAGAGCTCAGCTGGGAGAGCTGGCGTTCACATAGAACTGGTTATTTTTTTCCCATAGACTCACTGCTAATTGTGCTTTTAGTCTCTGCTGCTTTGGCTGTTAGAGCCCGGGGAGAATTGCCTGACGGTAGCGCAGGAAAATAACCCTCTGCTTCCAAGTTCCCTGCAAGCACCTGAGAAGACGTGTGCTCGGTCTCACTCATGTGCCTGTGCCTTGCTGGGAACAGGTCCCTGACCTGTCAGGGTTTATCAGGTCACCTGATAAACATGGTGCTGGTGCGTGGCACTCAATGGGATCCTAAAGCACTTGAACATCACTGCTGGTGCCCTGCAGTGCAATAGGTCCCGGTCACGTTCCTAAGGCCTTTACTATCCGCATAAACCAGACCTGTCCCTTGCCTGCACTGAGTTAGTGTGGACATTTTGTAGTGTGTCTGAAAAACCCACTCTTGTTTTTGTCCCTTTCGGTTAGGTGAGAGGATCCTGGGCTACGCCGAGGAGCCTTGCTACCTGTGGTTCGTCATGGAGTTCTGTGAAGGGGGAGACCTCAACCAGTATGTGCTCTCACGAAGACCCGACCCAGCGACAAACAAGAGCTTCATGCTGCAGCTGACCAGCGCCATTGCCTTCCTGCACAAGAACCACATTGTCCACCGGGACCTGAAACCAGACAACATCCTGATAACCGAGAAATCCGGCACCCCTGTTCTCAAGGTGGCCGACTTCGGGCTGAGTAAGGTCTGCGCTGGCCTGACTGCTCGGGGCAAGGAGGGTGGGCATGAGAACAAAAATGTGAATGTGAACAAGTACTGGCTGTCTTCGGCTTGCGGCTCTGATTTCTACATGGCGCCCGAGGTCTGGGAGGGACACTACACCGCCAAGGCTGACATCTTCGCCCTCGGCATCATCATCTGGGCCATGATTGAGAGGATAACTTTCATCGATGCGGAGACCAAGAAGGAGCTGCTGGGGACCTACATCAAGCAGGGGACCGAGATTGTGCCCGTTGGGGAGGCGCTGCTAGAAAACCCAAAGATGGAGCTGCACATCCCTCAGAAACGCAGGACTTCCATGTCTGAGGGGATCAAGCAGCTCTTGAAAGACATGTTGGCTGCTAACCCACAGGATCGACCTGATGCCTTTGAGCTTGAAACCAGAATGGACCAGGTTACATGTGCTGCTTAAATTCAGGGCAAGGCACTGCTGTGCTTTGCAGCTGGGTAAGTGATCCGCAGTTTTTGTATTATTCTGTCTGCTGTACCAGCCCAATAATGCACTTTGTAGTGACACAAAGGAATCTTTTATGCTCCCAGAGCTATTTCTATAGTGACTCATCGGAGCACTGCTTCTGAGTTTTTTTCCACCTATTCTACTGCAAAAATAAAGTAGAGGTGGGAAGCAGGATTAGCAGCTGCACGTCCTGCTGCTGCCCAAAGGCCCAGCGGAGCTGGCAGAGCTGGGCAGGAGCCCTGCTCCTCGGAGGTCCTGGCCAGTGGCCGAGACGGGCTGGTGCACAGCAGAGACCTGCGAGCACCCTCTGACATCAGCTTTGGGTACGTCCATCTCTCCCAGGGGCAGGGAAGGAGCTGCCAGTTCTGCCTCCTCTGCTATGTGGTGTAATTTCTGCAGTCAGCGCTGGGAGCACCTCGCTGTCTAGCACAGTCCCCTTCCCCTTTGAGACAGGACACCTCGGGGCTCGGCTGGCTCGGTGGGCCGGCACCGAGTGGAGTGGCAGGTCTGTCTCAGCACAAAGCTGTTTCCTTTGCTTTCACTTACGAGGCACGTGGGTCTGTCTTGTGGGTCCGTCTCATTTTGTTTCCTTGCTAAAGGCAGGACTTCCCTTTGGTGTGAACTGCGGTTGCCCAAACCCGGTGGGATGCTCTGGTGTCCAGCACCTGAGTTTGTACACCTGCATCTGCTCAGGAAGGAAGCTTACAAAACAGTTGTGGTCAGACTGAGCTCAGCTCCGTTCAAGCAGAGTCCCCTCCTTTCTCCCCCCAACTTGGTTCCTAAATAGTCCTAAGCCCAGAGGTCCTGGTCCTGAGGCCTGGGTGGTCACACACGGTCTGGAAGGACCCCCAGGGACATGGGGTAGCTGGCGGTGTCATTAACCAGTGACACCAAAGGACTGGGAGGTGTTGCCAGCATGGCAAAGCTGTCTGTAAACAGGAGCTGTTACTAGGGATACTCCCGGCCAACCACTTCAATGAAACTGAAAAATTACAGATTTCAAGGGGCGAGGCTGACGTCTTCCCAGCCCAGGTTCGCTGCCCGACTGTTGCTGGTCACAGGAGACCTCTGAAAGCCTGCCTGTGTCAGGTGCTGGCATTGCAGCTTGGGCTCCCAGCCCTCGCCTCAGCCCGAAATCGCACAGATCCTGCTGGACCAGAGCAGACCACAGATCCAAGAGAGCGAAGAGGGACGAAATGGCTGCCCTAGCCAGCAAACACCCAGCCTTCAGCCTTGCAGTTGATGGCTGTGTGCCTGGCCTGCTCCCGAGAGCGAGCCTCCAGCAGCAGGGCGGTGGGGAAGGTGGGGGCATTTTGGCAGGTTTTGCTAAGAAACCTCATTGCTGCCCACCTGAGGGTTCCTGAGCTTGTGTAAAGCGATGTGCTGCCCGTCCCCTCTCTGTGTGTGTGCCCAGGTAAGCTTTGTGCTGTTTGCAGAGAGATAGGAATATAGAAATGGAAAGGCTCATGGGGTAGGTCTGGTTGTTGTCACTGCTGGTTTGTCCAAACTGGTCTGCAAGCCATCCCCTCCACACCCCTGGCACAAAATATTTAATGCCCTTAAGATCTCCAGTGCAAGTAATTGATGTGACTGTTTCTGCCTGGGGCTTGGTACTGGTCCCAGTGCAAGTGTGGGCTGGGGATTAGGGTGGGGGAGTGAATCTGCAGAAATGTGAGCCCTTAAGGTGGGTGTGATAAAGTCCCGGGGCAAAAGCAGGGCACCCCACCTTGTGCCCCAGGCCAGGTGTGGGTCTCCTCTGGCTGTTGGGAGCAGCTCTGCTGCGTGACGGAGGGTCGGGTCGGGGTTTGCCGTTGCCATCTGCAATCGCTCTGTGCTGACGCGATGCTGCTGAGTTATGCAACCAGCCCGTGCCCTCCGGGGAAAATTCATCCTGTGCATATCTGCAGAATGGTACATGCAGGGATAACAAACACTGAGGGGACAGTCCTACCCTGGGGCTGTTTGCTTAAAACCTGGCTGCCTTCTGCAAACCACCCCCCTCCATCTGCGTCCGGAGCCAGCTGTGAGTCTGCACCGATCGGATCTGCTCCGACGGTGACACGGCTGCAGCAGAGATGGATGCGCTTATATAACGCAACCCGGCATACGTAGCGTGGCTGCTTGACCCAGACAGAAGCCTGGCGCCATCCATATGTTCGCTGCAGACCCAGAGCGTTGTGCTGTGGGGAGCGTTCCTCTGGCTTGTTTATGGGGCAGCAGAATATTTGGTGTGCTTTCCTATAGGGTTTTTCTAATGCGTTGTGTATTTGTGCATTCAAATCGGCCTGCCTCTGGCTGTTATTAAATGCAAACCTTAAACTGGAAACCCGCTTGAGAAGCTTAAAATGGGATTTAGAGCAGGGCCTGAATTCTGCTCTCAGTTAATTTAAGTTGACCAAAAAACTCAAGTAACCTCTTACAACTTAATTGTGGCACTGGCACGTAGCTTACAGTGCTGCTGGGTCATGCAGTGAGTTCTTCCCCAGGACAGCTTCAGACCCTGCTGAGCCTTGGTTCGTGTCTATAACCTGGAAAACTGTAACCCTCCCTGACCCAGGCAATCAGATTTTTGTGTATTTGTTGGTATGCCACTGACCTCTTCTGATTTTGCTTCATGTCCCAGCAGCTTTGCCTTTAGTTCTGCTACGGATGCTGGACGCACCTGCCAGTCGGCAGGCCTCAGGCTCTGTTATCCTTCCAAAATGCAGATATTAAATGTCAGTTTTCAGTCAGGAAAGTGTTTCTGGCTTGGTTTCTGCTGGACACCAGGGTGTCTGGAGTGGAGATGAGCCTGCTTATCTCCTTGCTCCCCTCACCAGCGCTGCTGGTGGCCCCAGGGTGGTAGGTCCAGCAGAGGTGGGCAGCATTTCCCCGGGCAAAACAAAGGTTTTTTCTTATTTGAACACTGTTTATCTAAAGTCTGAGCAAAAGCATGCCTTTTGGGCAAAGAGGACAAAAGCCTTTCTTTAGGGAGTGGCTGGATTGTGCTGGGTACCTGCTGATCACCTCTTGATTGCCGTGTGATAGCCCAGCACTGTGACCGCACCGCACACTAAGAAGTATTTCGCCCCTCCTTGTGGGTACTGGAAGGCTGGGGCCGCTCTCCTCCTTTCCTGCAATGTGAACATCTTCTTCTTTGCGTGTCTTTTTTGTAGCTGCCCTCCGAGTTCTCCAGGGCTGGTGAGGAGCCTCCCGTGGACACTGCTGCTTCAGTGGGACCCTCTAACGTTGTGGGTTTGTGCAGCGTGGATTGAGCAACCCTTAGACAAGTTGCTGAGGAGCGAGGTACAGCGAGAGCACGTGGCTGTTTGCTGCTCGCTGGAGTGGCACCATTGGTCTTGGCCGCAGCAACGAGGGGGGCAAGTGGCAGCATCACCCACCACCTCTCTTGTCCCACAGGCGGGGTCCGGTACCCGGTGTGCGATAAGCCAGTCTTGCACACAGAGCCCAGATACTTATTTATCTCGTGTTTGCGCAAAGGTGGGTGCTAGGTGGTAATTCCACAAAGCTAGCACGCCACACACGAGAACTACAGCGTATTTATATTGTTACACGATTAGCAAAAGCCCGCCTAAGGTCAAGTTCGTTGGTTAGTTGTGTTCAAATTAGCCTCGCTTGCCATGTAAATTAGCATGCATGCTCCTTGCAGGTCTGGGGGGGCAAGTCTTTCCAGTCTTGAATTGCGTCGGTGGTCCCGATCTCCCCCTGCCGCCTTTACCTTTCCCCTAGTTACCGCAGGTGTTTTGCTGACTTCTTGTTTCTTTGGCAATCATCCAGCCTCCGCCGCCTTCTAGGGCAGGATGTTCCCCTTTTATCGGTCTTTTAGTTCTTCTTCAAGGGCATAGTTGTTGTAAGGCATGCAGTGTTTATACAAGGTAATCAAGCTAGTACAATGAAGACTACAGTCTAGGTATTAACCCAAACGTATGGCTACACCTACAGTTACGCATTTAAGAAACTTTGTAGTTTTAATTCACGTAGGACATCAAACTGCAACGGTTGTCATGGGTGTAGAAGGCGGCTTGTTCTGGTCGATCATATTCCATGATATTTTCACTGTGGATAAAACAGTAGGTCTGATTTTGGGGTGGATGCTCAAGGTGAACGGCAGGAATCTGTGCATGCAGTGTGGTGCAGACTGCAGCAGCTCGGGGGCTGCCTTCAGCAGGAAGGCGTCTGACAGCCGAGGCCAGCCTGGTTCACTCCAGCACTCCTCCTCCTCCTCCTCTGTCACCAGGGGCGGGGCTGCCTTCAGCAGGAAGGCGTCTGACAGCCGAGGCCAGCCTGGTTCACTCCAGCACTCCTCCTCCTCCTCTGTCACTGGTTTTGATCATTCCGGTTTCAGCTGAAAGTAACTGTTTGCATTTGCATTGTTGTCCTCTTTGCATTTTCAAAATGCAACAGGAGCTGATGCTGAACAAGCTCATCTGCATGATGGTGTCTGTCCCTGGCGAGGGCTCTCTGGTGCTGTGCCCCGCCGCTCCCAAGCACCGCTAACAAACTGCTGCCCTACAGATCTCCAGACCTGGAGGGCAGGGATCGGACGCACATCAGCAGCATCTCTGCAAGCTATCAGTGCGCAGGGCTGTTGCATCAGGTTAGGTCTTGTCTGTTACTACCACTCAACTCAGATTTTACCATCCGGTAAGAGTGCCCTTACCCCGCTGGCCGGGGACAGGTGAGCAAGTCAAGGAAGAGGATAGCGGTTTCATTTCTGAAACAATGTTAGTTTTGACTTCAGACTGTTTTCAGTGTGGTTTGTGAATCTTGGCCTGGACAAAAGCCATGGGACAGTAAAAGCAAAGTCAGTTCCTCTTTTTGGCCGTAGCAGCGGGTGCAGCAACGCGGGGCCACCCCGCGGAGTGGCAACATCTTTCTGGGCAGCGTTGATTCTACCTGGGGAGAAGCGAAGCCCTGAGGATGAACTGCAGCACGTCACCTCTGGCCAGATGTGTTAGTGTTTGCGTTTGCTCACCGTCACCCCCTCTCCCTCCTGGGGGAGGCCGCTGCGGTTGGATTTAAGGCAGCTCCCAAGGAGTGCATCACAGATACACGTACAGAGCATGAGGAAGGGCTTAGGAGATACAGCAGGCTCTCAGCCCCCTTCCCTCGTACCCTGTGTTCCCACGCAGGGGTAGATAATGTGATTAACACGAGAAGGTGCTGGGTTATCTCTCCCTCCCCTGCGCTGAGTCCTCTGATATCACGCAGACCGCATTGCCACTGCCATGACCCACGCATTAGTGTCATCTTCCTTAGGTGCTGGATGAGGACTCCCGGTTCATATCCTGCTGATGCCGAATGAACATTCGAGCTGATTAAAACTATAAGTGGCATCAGGGGAGGGATTAAAAGCTCTTGAACAAGCCCCTGAAACAACGTGCGTCAATGGAGTGAGCTCTCCTGTCTCAGAGCTGTGAGCTCGGGGTTGCTCAAGCAAGCGCCTTCCCTGAAAATGCTCCTACTCCAGGGAAGCACAAACAGAAACGCTGCCCTACTTGCTAATGAAGCTGCATCACAGGAGAAATCTTCCAGAAAAATCCTTGTGCGATTGCCCCAACCTGATGTCCGGGTGCCTCTTGCAAGCCTGTCTTCTCAAACAGAAAGGCTTTTTTTCCTGATTGCAGCCTGCAAAGGCGGCATCTCCTGGTTAACCTCTCCTGAAAAGCAGCGTGCCCGTGGCCCTGGCTTCTGTTCCAGGCAGCCTCTTCCTTTAGAAATGTGTTCCTCAGGCACGGATTTCTTTAATGAGATTTCCTAGGGCTAAGGGACTTGGGTAATTTGCTGGGCAGCGGCAGTTTTTCTTCAGCAGGTCTCTCCTGCTGCTCCGTCGCTGTTGCTCGGTGTCTCTGCAGAGCCCCTTGCTCGGGAGAGGACCTGGCCGTACCCCAAAGTGTGGATCTGCCCCTGCTGAGGAGGGGAGCTAAACCCCCCCCCCCCCAGGTTTTTTCCATGTAACTGTCTGAGCTCAGAGCTCAAGTCTGGGGAAAAATTAAACTGCTGTTAACTCCTGGAAAATTACCACCCGTGCATAGCACAAGGGGTGATGAAGTGAAGGTCCCTCCACTTAGGTTGAAGGTTTGCACGTGTTTCGGTGACTTCCAGCCCCGTCCCCTGCTGCAGGAAGCCCTCGAGGGGCCAGCGAGGCAGAGCTGACAGCAGCGGGGAGACCCCCGGGTCCCTCCATTGGGCAGGTGGGTCCCAGCTTTCATCGAACCGTCACCGCTGCTTCCCAGCACAACCCCTGACCTCAGCTCTGCTGGTCCCTCCTCTGAAGGTTGGGACATCCTGAATGATGTATTTCCAATACAGAAGTGACATCATGTGCATGTGTGCCGTTCCTCTGCTGGGTCCAGCCTTGCTGCCGGATGGGATGTCCACAGGGAATTTGCTGGGTTGCAAACAAACTGGGAGGAAAATGCTGGTGGCTTATGTGCAGAGTTGAGCATTTCTGCGTCCGTGAGCTAGGAAGACAGGAGAGTGCAGTGCCAGGGCTGTGGAGGAGTCGGTGCAGCACCCTTGGTTGGGACTTTGGCCAGGGCAGAGACTGGCACAGCAAAGATCTGCCCATGCTTTCCTAAAATCCCTGGCACTGAGCATCCTCGTGGGCTGTCGCAAGCGCAGCACGGCCACGCTGCGAACCCATCCTGCTCTGCTTTCAGTTGCACCGAAAGGGATTTTAACTGCCTCTTGCAGAGCCACTCAAGAAGCCCGAGCTGCTGCTGACAGAGAGGGCGAGCGGTGCAGGGCGTCCCCGGTGTCACAGCTTGTTCCGCCTTTCCCTGGGTGTGCGGATGCAGAGGACCGGGAGCCACCACTTGCATGCGCATCATGTGGACCCCTCAAGGCCGGGCTCTGCCGCAGTAATGCTCATCCTTGTTCCAGGCGGGCTGTCACCGCGGCGAGCCCCGCGGGATGGGGCTGTGTTACCGGTGTGCAGGGCGATGCTCGACCCCCAGCCAGCCCATCCCAGCTCAGCCCACGAGCTGGGGCAGCTGGGTGCGTACTGACCTTGGCAGTGTGCTGTGCAGCGTTTGAATCGCTCTTTGAGAAAGAAATGACTATAAACCGAGTTCGGACCCGCAGTGCCTGGGTCAACAATGAAAACACTGCGAAGCAGAGAGACGTGGCAATGCCCATCTTGGACTAACTGGGACCAGCGGGAAGGCTGTGGGAGTGGGCTCCCTCTCTGCAGCAGTGTCCTCCAGCCCTTCCATCCAGCAGCCAAATGGCTGCAGCACCAACCCGATTACCATTGCACCTTCCACCCGGTGCAGTTGTTCGTAGGCATTGCTGTTCGCAGTCCAGCAGCCAAATGGCTGCAGCACCAACCCGGTTACCACTGCACCTTCCACCCGGTGCAGTTCGTAGGCATTGCTGTTCGCAGTTGTTGGTTGGGGCCGTGTAACGAGAAGGCGTGTACTCATCTTGAGTTCTCCCAGACCCTCAAATGATGCTTTAATTAAGGCTTGGGAATGAAAGGGGAGGTGCAGCGAGCACACTGAACCAGCGATCCCGCTTGCTTTGCCCCCTAGTCTGGGTTGGGTGGCAGCGGGAGGGCTAGCAGGATGTTGTCACCATGTAGTAACTGGGACAAAACCGCTGACATACCTGACCTCTCTTTCTCCTTTCTTGTTTTTCTTGCAGGTTTATTTACCAGGGACCCATAATCTCCATTATTTACATGCAACGAGGGAAATTGAAGATAAGGGAAGATGATGATACAGAAGACCCCTGGTCTGCAGGATCTCTGGCAATGTGAAATCTTTGGGTGTTACTTTGTTTTGTTGGGAAGGAGGTGTTCTGGGGCTGTGGAGGGGGCTGCAGAGGCCTGTGGAAGAGCACAAGCTGGCAGCTGTCGTGCCCACGGGACTATTTTAAACAAGATCCAGAGAGCAGAGCTGCCCTTGCCCAGCCTTCCCCGTGTCTCCTGTGCTGCCATTTGACTCCGTAGATGTTTCTAGAGAAGATCTGGTTCCATAAGGAGGTGGGAATCGGCAGCCCAGCAGTGAGGTGTGCTGCCAGGCACCAGCTCTGAGTCTGGCTGGGCACAGCTTTGGGTTTAAAGCTATTCCTTTCGCCGAGGGGAAACGGGAGCAAAGTGATTGCTGGGTTTGCACCGGGAGCGCAATGCTTTAGAAAAAAGTGAGTCTCTCGGACCACGTGTTGCAAGCAGCTAAATACTTTCATAGCCAGGCAACTTCTGAATAGGCGGATGCTGCCCAGGCTATGAGCAGTTGACGTTAGGATAGAGTAACATAAACAAGCTGGAAAGCCATTTGGCAAGGCAGGTCCGCTGCTGTGACGGGCAGACCTTCATTCTCCCCGAGCTGGATTTCACTAGTGATGTTTGTTACAGTCTTTCTAGACAGAGGGCAACGGGGAGCCCGTAGGTACATTTTCAGGTGGACATCGTCCGCATACAAGAGAAACAGAGAGCAGTCCGCTACTCTGATCCATTTAATGCTAAACTTCAGTTGTTAGGAACAATACTTGGGAGAGGAGGAGATTTGGCCTAAATCGCTCACGGGCTGGATTCTAGCCTCCAGCAAAACACTTTTCCCTGCTAGATAACTATCTCCAGGAAGCAAAAGGCAATGCTGCTGTTTAGGTTTGGTTACAGTACAGTACAGCTCAGGTAAGGAGATTGGAACCTCAGGCTGAGCTGTTAATACTAGATTTCCTTGCCTATATTTAGAACAACACTAATATTCTGGGGCTGACCCTGTGTTGACGATCACTGTAAATGCAATGTAAAGCACCACTTCTCCACCCTGCACGTTCAGAACCAACTAAAACATTTCTGACCAGATTAAATAACCCGGCAGTGGTTTGTGGAGCGGGCTGGTCTGACCCAGCATCGCTCCCGAGCTGCCCAGGTGCTCAGCCCTTACCGCAGCCAGAGCTGGCCAGGGCCACAGGCATAAGAGGGTCCCTCCGACCCCCTCGTCCCTGGCTGTGGGAACTGCTCCTCGCCTGCGTGCAGGCTCCAGCTTTCCCGTGTCATCACTGGAAGGTTCCTGAACTGGCAGCACCTCCTTGTATCTACTCAGTGTACTTTGCTGACCTCATGGGAATGAATGGAAATACAGTCGATTCATGTGGGCCAAGGCACAGCTAAAGGAGGGAGGGGTTTCTTTTTTCTCTTCCATCTATTCCAGGACACAAAGCTAACGCTGTCGCTGCAGGAACGCCAGGTCCCTCTTAGGAGGACGATGCCAGGAGTCTCCAGACCATGTGTCTGTGACTTGTGGAGGTTTGGATGGCACAAATTCGGTGCCAAGCCCCTGTTCCCACGCTGCTCTTCTGTTTGTTCCTAGGGATGCTTCTGTGGGCTGTGGCCAGCCACAGCCAGACCATGACTGTACAGACTCCTTCCAGGCCAGTTACTGGGGTTTGAGCAGTTTGGGGTTGGTTAGCAGGTGCTGTGCTCGGCCCTGGCCGCAGAGCGGTCTCGGGGGCTTTGAACAGCGCTTTGGCTGCTCTCGTTTCTCTCTAACTAGCAGCAGAACCCTGCGGCAGCCATGCCGAGGAGCTGCAGGCGGGTTTCTCCCGGGGAGGGCTTGCGGAGCCCCGCACGTTGCCCAGCATCCTGCAGGAGGGCTGCGGTGAGAAGAGAGCCAAACCCCGTAGTTCACAAGTACAGTGTTACTGCCCTGATCGCTGGACCATCCTTCCTCCTCCTGACAGAGCCTTTGCTCCTGACTGTTACGACCTAACCCTGGCTTGAACGGGTGCAGTAAGAGGGCTTTACCCTCCCAGCCCTGCTCACGTGGCTTTCCCTGCTGGAAGGGCCCCTCACCGGGCGTTATGCCCTGGGAGAAGGGAGCTTCCTAGCAGGAGATTTCTTTCCATGTGTGGAAACCAAGCCTGAAACGCAGGACGTGGAGATGGAAAGTGGTGAGTGGGCTGTTCGCCGGGACCGCTGCCTCCAGCCGGCTGCCAGCACCCTGCTCCTCTCTGGGGACAGGAGCGAGCCCGGCCGGCAGCACCTGGGAGGGTGTCCCCTCTTAGTCCATCGCTGTTTCAGGCCATCTTCAAACCACACGTCTCCACCTCAGCTTTTGCATTGCAGATGTGTTTTTAAAGCAGCTTGATGTTAGCGAGCTAGACCGTAGTGCCTTACTTAGGATTTAGCAAACACTTCCAAGGATGAGACCTAGGGCTGCTAGCCTTTGGCCAATGTGGGTGTTTCCCTGATTAGTTTGTCCTTTTAAGAGCATTTCTCCCTGATGATTTTGCTGCTGTTTGTGCTTGACTCCCCAGACTATACAGGAACCTGCCTTGTGTTTACAGCTCCTAGCATCTCTCCTCCCAGTTACTTTGGCCCAGACCAGCGCTCTCTCTTGAACAAGGTGGGAACAGGGAACAGCTCAAACCCGCTTGTGCTGTGGGATGGGGGATGTTTAGGCTTCCCTTCCAAGCTGGGTCTATCAGGCACCTCCTGCCCAGCTCCTGCAGGCTGAACTTCTCCCTCTGCTGTAGATGTTTTTGGCATTAGGATGTGCTGCTGGGGAAAAAAACTTAGGAAAGCAGCACCGAGCCTGCAGCCCATTGCCCAGCCCAGGGCCAGGCTGTCTCCATCTCTTCCTGGCTGCAGCGAGGCTGAGCATCCAGGTGCTGGGAGGGCCTGGTCGGTGTGGGGGGAGCCAAGCACCCTCTCTTGAAACCCTGCTGCCCTCCAGGCTTGCGGGGCCCCAGCCGGTGCCTGTGTCGGGGGAGTGATTGTATGAAACTGTTTACTTCTGACTATGCTGTTTACAAGAGGGATGTGGGGTGGGTGGGGGGAACAAGCCAAGCCTCAGGAGGATTGGGAAACGTGTTATCTGCACCAGCCTGCAGCAAGGCCAACACCGCTGGCATCATGTAGGTGTCGTGGGGATCTCCCGGCCAGCTTCGGTCTATGGGGAGGAGAGAGCAGAGGTGACTCTAGCCTAGAGGGGTTAGATTAGCTCCCCCTTGTCCCCTTGCTGCTGTGTTTGAGGTTCAGCAGTGCTAGTGACAGATAAGAGTTACCCCTGTGGTCTTCCTTTACTCCTCAGGACCCAGCTCCTTCACATATCAGAGGCTCCCAGAGCCTTTCTGGAGCAATAAGACTTAAAACAAGCATTACCATCGTCGTGGAAATCCTCCGTTGTGTGCATTGTATGTTTCTTCCGTATGCAGTACCGAGTCTGGGTTTAAGCCTGCCAAGCATCATGGGGCAACTGCTTCAGGGCACAAACTGGGACATGTTTCCCTGTGCTTTCTGCAGGTCACAAGAGCAGGGAAACACGCTGCTTTCCTTCGTTACCCCCAGGCATGTGCTGCCCAAGCCTCACGCTACAGCTGCCTGGGGCGAGGGGGGCTCCCGGTCCCATTTCGAGTGACGCTGCTGCAGGACGAGCGTGCGGCGCTCGGCCCTGTGCCAGCTCGGCTGTGTCGCAGGAGCAGGCTGTGTGCTTTACCCTGGCTCCTTGCAGCCTCCCATCCCTTCAGCCAGGCTGCACAGGTCCGAGGCTCAGCAGAGGGGCAGCATCTGGAAAGCAGAGCCCCTGGCTCCCTTGGCAGCGGGATGCAGCTGATGCTCATGCTGCTGGCTCCCTTGCCGAGGTGCTGCCCGAGAGCAGTCGCTGGTGGTGGGGAGAGCTGTGCTGGCGGCTCCCCTGCCGCTCAGCTGGTAACCGGGCATGTCCCAGCATGTGGCCCTTCACATCCAAAAGCATTTCACACTTCAGAGCAGGGTGTCAGGGCAGTGGGTGCAGCTGGAAGGAAAGCGCAGGGAGCTGCTCTCTTCCAGCTGCGATGTGACAAATCCTGTTTCTCTGCAGTCTGCCCAAGTGCTTTTAACTCCAAGGGTGATGTCCAGGGTGCGGGAGGAGCTTGCAGGGGCTAAAAGGGAGTGCTTGGTGTCCCCATCCCGGGCCTTCAGCTCAGTCATCCAGCAAACCCCAGCAGCTTTGCAGAGCCGCTTCCGTGCAACACCAGGGAGGTGCCGGGGCCCCAGCAGCACGGGGTGAGCCCTGGGACAGGGGCACCCTGGCCCAGCCCTGCTCCGGGCTCCCTCCGCTCCCTGCAGCCCCTGCGCTGAGCTAGCCAGAGCAGAAGGCTTAAACCCAGACTCCAAACTAAAGATTATATTAGTAAATGAACCTGTATTTTTCCTTTTTTTTTTTGCACAGAAGCTGGTAATCTAGGACCTATGTGTGAACAACTTTATATAAATATTTTTTGTACTTCGTTTACTCGGGTTGGTATGAGATGTTCTATTTAAGTTCTTTGAACACTGTGGATACCCTGATGTGTATGAGTGGCAGAGGCTTTGTAAATTAAGAGACGTTTGTGTGAATAAAGCTATTTGATGGGGTTGAAAAGCCACACACAACTTGAAACACAAGTTTTGTGCATTTGTCCTCAGCCATGCTGCCAGCGGGGTTTGTAAGGAAGGGGAGTCCCTGAGCAGCCGTGGGTAGACCAAGGCTCTAAAGTGGTACCGGCTCCATCCCGGAGGGCAGGTCTGGCTAAGCCCGGGCTGGGCTAGCTGGCCTGACCCTGGGGGCTTAGGGCACTAAACCAAGGCACGGCGGCCAGCGCCAACCAGAACATGGCTCCCTGGCACGCAGCACCCGTGGCCGTTTAGCCTTGCCCTGGAGTAGGATTAGCCCCGTTCTCGCTGCAGACACCAAGTAGGCCACGGCGATTAGCAGGGCAGAAGAGCTCAGCCTCTGCCTGCACGCTGCCTGCGGAAACACCTCCCTGTCTTCCCCCTTTCTCGGCAGCCCTGTGGTTTGGGAGCCAAAGGGGATGAGCAGCCTCTCGCCCAGCCGGCCACCCACTCCGGAGGTGGCTGCAAACCCAGCAAGGAAAATGCCCTGCAGAATTGCTGCTTTAGTAGCCACAAATATTTTCTCCCTTTGCATAGATCCTCTGCCCCAAATCTCAGATGCACGGACCAAAACCAAGCCAGTCACAGCAGCCGGGAGCCCCTGTAGCCCCGTTTCCAGCCAGGACCCCCAGTCCCACAGCTGACATCCACAATGGGAAAAGCACAGTGAGGCTGAGCCGCATCCTGCGGCAACAAGAAGTTTTCCATCGAGCAGGGAATGGCAGCCAGCGATTTCCCGGTTGTTGAGCAGCTTGGGGCCACCCCAAGCCAGCGAGGGACACAGGGCATCCTGGCACGCAGGGCCATGCACTGCCACTCGCCAGCCCTTGCGTAACGGCCCTGCAGCCTTGTGCGACCCAGGGCAGCCGCAGCACCCGTGCTAGGACGTGCTCGGTGGCCAGTGCTCCCCTCCTGATTCCCCCCGCCCAGCAGCCCCAGCACAGCCGGCCGCGTGGCTGTGGACTCCCCCCACATGGCCATCAGCATTGTGCTCCCTAATCGCTGCCGACAGGGACCTAAAATGGATGCTTTCAGCCCAGCGGGGCTGCAGCGGGGCTGGTCGGCCCTGGCCGGAGCAATGCCGAGGGGCCAGAGCTGCCCTGCTCGCCGGCAGGCAAGCAAGGGGGGGGCCCGAGCCACGTTTTCTCCGGCCTTGCAGCTTCCAGCTGGGTTATCTCAGGGCTGAGGGGCATTGACTGCATGGCACCCACTGCGAAGGCAACGCTGGGTGCTCAAACATCCCCCCTGCCACGGTCCTGCCCAGAGCATCCTGCCTGCAGGCAGGGAAGGGGCAGGGTCAGCTCGGGTCGCACTGGCAGCGGGTGCAGGACAAGCTGGTGTGGGTGCGGCTGTGCCACACTGCTGCTGCTGCGTGGTCACCGGCTCGGTGCTCACGGGGTGAGCGGGGCTGCTTGCACCATTGCCGCAGGCTGGGGAGCAGGAGGGACCCTGCCATCGGGACCGGATCACTGGCATCCCGCCAGAGGAGGGAGAGGAGGTGATGCAGCGGAGGAAAGGTTTGTCAGGAGATGCACACTTCGACCTTGCCTGCAGAGATACTGCGTAATCCTGCCGCCCTGGACACAGCTCACTGTCCCCCACCACATGCAGTCACCCCCAAACTCCCCAGCACAGATGCTGCTGCACCTCCGGCTCCTTTTGCTCCCATGACGTCCCTCTGTTTTGAGCTCCACCAGTGACAAGGATCATTTTGCCAGTCTCCGGGTTCATGGCATCATGCACTTGTCTGTGACCGGACATGTAACATGCTCCGTGCGCTCCCACGGCCCCCAGGCCCCCAGCTCTCATTAGCTTGGCCCCTGCAAACGTGACGAAGATGAAATCCAACAGGAGCTTGGGGTGGGAGCCTGGGTCAGCTCGCACGTGTGCCACCATGCTGCAGGCAAGAAGCCAGTAAGGGCAGGTGACCGCACGGCACAGCCGACAGCTGAAAAGCTTTTAACATCATTAACAGAGAGAGGTTGGTGTCAGTTACCAGCAGAGATGTTTCACTCTGGATTTGCTCTCTGGAGACCTGCTATTTCGTATGTAAAGAGGGCTGCTAAGCTCCACAAAGATGCTTCAATTGCTTGATAGCTGACAAAAGTACCCCAGCACCAGCCATCCCCTGCCCTGCCGCTCCTTGGGGACCGGGAGAGGGCATGTGCAGGGGGAGAGCTGCACGTGGCAAAGGCCACGGCCAGGCAGCAGGCAGGCAGCAGGGCGAGGGTGGGATAGGCAAGGAAACCCGTGGCAGCCACCATGACCGTGAGGCCAGTCGCGGTCCCAAGTGCCAGCTGGGCAAGCACCAACCTCACCCCGGAGGGATTTAACATCAGAGAGCAGAGGTGAGATGCTGCCGCCATCAGCTTCGCTCTCTCTCTCCCTGCTTCGACACATGGTAGGAACATTTTCAAGAGCATCCTGTCCACAGAGGCTCTGGCACTGCGTTTTACAGCTAGAGCACTAAGTCATTCAGTGCAAAACTTAAGTCCATATTTCTTTTAAGATCTCTTGAGCTTCTCAAGCAGCAGCCACTTAAGCAGTCCTCGCTGGAGCACAGAGACACCAGCTGCTTGAGCTGGTAGGAGGAGAGCAAGGCCCGTTTTATTGGTACAGGACATTCATCTGCCTCATCTCCACATTGATGAATAGCTCTATTTTACCCCGTGTCAGGCTCCAGCAAAGCAGAAGATGAACAGCTAAAGCTGCGGTAAGCCCACACACTCCATTTAGCCAGCAGATGACTCAGATGAGGCTCTTCGTGCGGGTGGAGGTGCTGATGAAACGCGAGAGTACAGAAGCCAGCACGCTGGCGAGCGGGGGCTCTGCTCTCCCTACCGGCCACCGTGCTGCGAGGCAAGAGGGTGGACCCTCCTCACCCTCTGTCCCCCTGTTCGGTTGCAGGACAGTCATGGGGGTCTTCGGCACAGGGACAGCCCAGCCCCGGTGCTCTGCTGCACAGCAGATAAGGCCGTGGATGGCATCAAGCTGTCACTTATTAAGTACCTTTTATCCCATCGCACACAGCATCCCAACAGCTCTCCAGCGCCAGCTCGGACAGGAGCAGTGCAGCTACCAGTGTGCGTGGGACAGCCATGGCCACCCCGTCCTTCCTCCTGCAGAAACCCCAGGCAGCCCCAGGGGTGCCAGCCCTGCCGGGGGATGGAGCAGGGGGGAGCAACATCACCCAAACCACTTCCCGATTCCCACCAAGGCTTCAGAAAAGAAAGATGGCCAAGTCAGAAAGCCAAATACATTTTTTGCCTGCTATCTGCCTCAAATGCACATTTGTGGAGCTGCAGAGGGTGCAGGGCGCAGGGTGCTGGGCACAGGGTGCCCACCCCACGCACACTCCACCTGCCTCTCCCCACAGCAGGGACCGCACGTGGCAGAGGCAGCAGCTTTGCCCAGAGCCACTTCAGGTCAGCCTCAGTTCCATGAACAAAAGCTACTTCCCATCTCCAGCTCATCTCCTGGCAGAGTTAATGCCCCGCGCTCCTCTGGGGACCCAGCGCTTGCGAAGACGCACTGGGAGGCAAGCAGCAAGGGAGGGAATTAAGACCTTATTTCCTCTGCCAGAGATAAGATCTTTAAACAAGCTTCTCAGCCAAGAACTTCAATTTTTTTTTTTTTTTTTTTTACAGGTTTTGCAAGGGAATCTTGTTCTCCAGAATTGCATCCGCCTCCAACCCCACTTAGAGCTGCCAAAGCCTGCGCTTCCCCCGGGCCCAGCCTGTGAGCGGCGGAGATGGATGAGCTGACACGGGCATGACTTCACCCTTGCTGTCCTGCCGCCGGAGCCGGGGGGCTGTCAGTATTCCCAGAGCGACCCCCCCCTGCTCCAGCCGCGCGTTGCAGCCCCACCAGCCCCCACGGATCAACCACGTGGACCGCCGCCATGCGGTGCCCCAGCCCGCTGCCCCAGCGTCAGGCTGGATGAGGCCCCCGGGGCGAGCATCCCTGCGAGCAGCAGCAAAGCCTGACCCAGCGGCACACTGCTCCAAGCTTCAACTCTGCTCCCTCTGCGTGGATCCAGCCCTGCGGTTGCTCCCGGTTTAATCCGGGAAGGGCCAGCATCCGTGGTCTTGTGAAAGATGCTCGTTACCATTCTGAAAAGCCTTCTGGGGCACTAAACTGGAAGTACAGCGTTCACCTCCCCTCTCCTACGAACCCAAGCAGGTCATTATCTTACTGTGAGCCTCAATTCCTCCTTGTACCACAGAAATGCTCCAATACTGGGCCCTATGTTTGGGAACACAGACAAATGTTCTGTGAGCCTTCAACGGCAAGAAATAAATGCCCCTGCCTTGCTCATGCCCTGGGGGTTTGCAGCCCCCGCCTCGCTTGGAGGCTGCTGTGGGAACGAACGCTTTGGGCTGATTTATCCGGCACGTTGGCGCTGCAGATTAAGGCGCCAGCCCTGAGAGATGGAAGGGAGCGCGAGCCAGCCAGCCAGGCGATAAATCACAGGACGCAGGCTCCAGCTCTGCCTGCTGCGCTCTGCCCATTGGTACTAAAGGTGCTGGTCAGCGTGTTCCCGGCGGGACAAATGCTCGAGCCTCGGAGCTGCTTTCATGTCCCGTGTCCTGGGGAGGGCGGACACCCAGCTCCCTGGGAGTGCTGCATCCCGACATTAGCCCGACTGCTCCCCCGCCAGCCACAGCCCTGAGTGGGGACTGACCGCAGGTGACAACCAGGGGACAAGGCTGCAGGCTCAGCAAGTTTCCCACTGCCCGTCTTCGCCCTCTGTCCCACGTCCAAGCAAACGTGACCCCCGTGGGAAGTTTTCCTGGAGAAAGGGGGATGCACGCTCGCTGCTTGGATGAGCCTGTCAGCAAGGGCCGTCTCGTGGGATCTGGGACACAACAGCCTCCCTTGAACTTATGCTCAAGGACGTCTGTCTTGCAAAGTGCAGCACACCACAAGTATATCCGAACGGGCTTTTGATGAGCTTCCAGCAAGATAAAAGAGCTTCCGTGACCCTGCTCCATCTTCCTGAGCTAGATCATCGGTAAACCAACCCCTGCTGTAGCCTGCAGCTCAGAGGAGCTCTCACCTCTCACATCCCACACACGTGTCTGGGTACTTAGATTAATGTCACCGCTGGAGAATGGAGGGTCTGTCCGCCCCAGGACGCCCCTTCAGTGCCAAGACCTGTCCGGGTTGTCCAACCATGAAACACTCAGCAGGGGAGGAAAGGAGAGCTGACAGATAAAGGCTCCCTTTCCCAAGGAAATCCCGAGCACTCAGCCCTTCATGCTGCAGGTCTCAGGGCTGGGCACAGACCAGGGAAGATTTTTGCCCCAAACCAGCCTCCAAACCCACAAACTTCTTGGCTTGCTGTAGGCAAACAGCTACCCCAAACTCCAGCAGGTCCAGGCTGTGGGGCTCCCTCCCAGGGTGCCATTAGTGGGTGTAATGAGCTGGAGATAATTGCTGCCTCGGGGACACAATTAACTCCTTCCTGGCCTGGTCCAGCTGGGGCTTTGCGTCCCAGAAAAGCAGTTTCTCCCCCAGGTTCCTTAGAAAACTTACATCCCTTTTCCTTCTCAAAGTGAGCCTTCTGAATCCCAGCCTGACGAGCAAAGCGAGTTCCCTGATGTGTGGCGATGATTTAGATTTGGGATATATCTGGAATGTATAATTTATTTCAGGTATATGAGGCACCAGCGAAGCTGGGAGCAAGCAGTGAGTAAATCAGTCACACCCTTGTGATAATGGGATTTGAAGCAGCTCAGCGCAGCCAGCTGATGGGCAGCCCTGCTCTGAAAGTCCCGCTCCCGTGGGGCCAGGCAAACACGAGGAGCTATGGGTACTGTCCGGGAACGCAGGGACACAGTCAGGAACCCTGGAGGAGCTGGTGACGTCGGGAGACTTTTATGACAGCGCTGCCAGCGACGGCCATGGCAACACAACCTCTAGCAGAAAGGGTCTGTGTGAACAGCCCCCTGTCCCTGGGACAGGGCTCACCTTGAACCAGGCGCTGCCCAAAGAGCTGCTCCAAACCCGACACCCACCTTCACCCATGAGGTCCCGCCTGGAAGCGGCAGGGGAAGAACCAGGCACAAAGCCCATCCTCCTCCCCGTCCCTGTGGTGGTTTCCTTTGCGGCAATTTACTGTTTCAGAAATGCAGTAGACATGAAATATGAAGACAGAAATTGCCAGCGACTTTTAATTTGGGTTCTGCCAATTTCTCTGTTCCAGTTATTGATTTTCCATAAAGATGAATCCCCGTTCCCAGCTCGCTCTGACAGGCACTATCTGCGCGTTCTGCTTACCCCGAGAGTGGAAATATATGTTTTATTAAGCGTCAGAGCTCACTAATGAGAAGAGGGAGGAAAATCAATTGTCTGCTTGTATCTTGATCTCAAAGACAGGACTAACAAGTTCTTTATTTTGATGCTGTGGGCAGGAGGACAGGGCAAAATGACAAACGTGGCAGACAGTGGCTGTCAGCTCTGCTACAGAGGCAGCTCAGCTGATGGGGGGGGAAGGGGTACATGGTATTTGATTTTTTTCAAACACATTTGTATTTGTATTAATTCAAAGAGATTCATAGAGTGCTATAAAATCCTGTAGTTGAATTGATCCCTGATGCAAAGCTACTGAAAACAGTAAAATTTCAGCTGCAGACTATAAGCAGGTTTATGCTCATATTCCTAAAATCAAGACAGCGGCTTGGCCAGCTGTTCTGGATAGGGCAGCCAAAGGGATCCCATTTTTCCATGCTAAATTTGGGATGAAGGTTAGCTTTTATGACAATGAGAAGTACAAGCAAGCTCAGTGCAAAAGTCTCTGCACAACTCCAGCAATAAACCCAAGCGTGCACCATGCTGTGCTCCTAGAAAGTGCTCAGGTGACATCCTAACCCTGCCAAAATGAGGAGCAAAGCTGGCTAAGCCCAGGACTTCACCTTTGCTGCGTGAGCAGCTCAGCCACTGCACTCAGCTCAGCTGTGCAATACTTTCATCTTCTACCTCCACCTTTTCCAGGTCAGTTCTGGGGTACGCGAACACCCTGAATAGCCTAGACGTCGCCAGCTCGAAGGCAGACATGGTCTCCACCAAGAGCCATTAAATACAAAGACACCATCGCATCTTCAGAAATCACGGGATGGGAGGGTGCCAAGGGAAATGGACACAACGTGCAAGCCTTGCTTTAAACTCCTCCCTGGGCATCTGGCACAGGCCATGGCTGGAACAGGAGGCGAGGTTAGCTGGACTCCACGGGACTTTTCTTATGTCCGTAAGCCCTCACACCACCAAGGCCGAGGGAAAAGGACAGGTCCAGTTCCCAGCACACACAGCCCGAACGACAGGACTGGGATCCATGACACAGGCATGAACATTCATTTCCTGCATAACTGGGTGTTATTACCAAATACTGATCTCTGCTACCTCTCCCCCCTGCCCCGGCAAGGCTATCAACCTTCTGTCACTCATATTTGTTATCTTCCTGGTCTGTTAGAGAATCACACCTGACAATTGTATAGTTAATCTCTCGGCAGCGGTGAAATGAGATGGTAAGCTCCAGCTGCCTTAAGAAGATGCATTGATTTCTTAAAATGACAGATCGCCTCCTCCCTTGATGTTCAAGCAGAAGCTCAGAGCTGGTATTACGGATCTTGCCTATCATTCAATTAAAAAAGCTTAGCAGAGACGCACCAGCTAAGTGTACAAGACAGCATTAAGGCTAAGTCCTGACCCAGAGATTTAATCCCAGGGAGTATGAAGGCACCTTCAGACAGAGGACGCCTGTCCAGCTTGCTGATGAATGCACCGGTTGTGGTATTGAACTTGCCACCGTGAACCGTATGAGCCAGTCTCCTCCACAATAAAACAGCTGACTGGCCAGTCAGGTCCCGCAGCAAAGAAGAGCAGGAAAATCCCTTCCTACACAAAAGGAAGTTTGCTGCACTTAATGGAGCAGTTTATATCCTATTTCAACGCATCTCTTTAATAAGGATTATGTGTTTAAGTTAACAAAACTCCTGACACTGTGTGGAACAGCCTCAGTCTCACCGCAGAGAGCAAAGCACTGGAGTGTGTCCGGCCTCAGATGTAAAGACTGCAAGATTCACCCTCGAAAAGCAAAATACCCCCACCCCACAGCATGCCATAAAGCCCAGCAGATCCCATCGGTACCCCAGAACCACCTGTGCTTTCCTGGGCGAATATTAACATCTGCAAAGCAGCAAAAAAGCAAAGCTGAATGAAGCGTATCTGTGGGTATCCCAGATCCGCCCCACGCTGGGCTCAGAGCAGGTCCCAGGCGGAGCAGCAGTGCCGTGCTGACGATGGTGTCCTAACGCTCAGGAATTCAGGGCAGAGCCATTCACAATCCTCCTCCCAGAAATGCTACAAACAGCGCAGTTGTTTGGAGCAGCCTGGATAGCCGGGCCTGCGAGGATTCACCAGCCCCAGGGGCAGAGGCGTACCTACACCAGGTGACTCAAAAGCGCAGGGAGGTGCCTGCAGCGTGAGAAACAGGGCAGCCGTGTGCCGGCACGGCGCTTCACCGACGGCGCCTCGCAGGGTGCCACTTAGAGCTTAGGGCTTCCCAGGATGGAGCCAGTTTTTCTGCTCATTGCTGTGCTCGTTACGCCTTGCTCCGAGCTAGCGTGCTGCGCGGACACGGCCAGCAACCATTTTCTGGCTGTCCTGCCTTAACTACTTCATCCCTGTCTGCAGGGACCTTTGGTTCGAGGCCGTGTCCCCGCAGTTCACTGCTGAGGTCTGGGCTCTGCGGGGATAAGAGAGCTTTAAAGCAGCCCACAGTCAAGCAGCTGAGTTAGGCTCCTTGGCCGTGGAGCAAGGGCTCATAAAAGGCTGAGGCTGCTGCCTAGCTCCGTGGAGCGGAGACGAAACGCTGGAGGAGCAATGGGAACATCACACGCAGGGAAGCCAAGCTTTGGAAACCACGTTTTGGATTCTCCAATGACCACAAACCCCGCAGTCCTCAGAAAAATGGTCCGTTTGTCAGCTTAGCGCTCTCACAGCCCCATCGCAATAGCAAGGGCACAAGATGGGGGTGAAACAAAATGTACCTGTTAAGGGGGAAGCACATTGCTCTCAGCCCCTCTGCTTTTCTCCTCTCTGCCCGCCAGTACGATGCGAAACTGCCCGGGCACAGCGCTGGGCCGGGGGACAGAGCCTTCTCACACCTCAAAGTGCACGATACCCAGCCCAAGGATCGCACTGACCCCTCGCCCCGTGCCCAGCACCGGGAAATGCATCACACTGCGATTACAACAGCCAGGCATTGTGTGCCGGCCCGCTGTAAGCGACCCGAGTCACCCCTTTCAGTATAAAAACAGATGCTGGTAATTAAGCAGGCAGAGGAGAGCGCGGCCGCGCTCCTCTCCCCACACACGGCCATCTCCCCTCGGGGCCAGCCTGGTGTCACCGAACCCGCAGGGACCCAAGGTACCACATTTCCCCAGGGACCGGAGGGTGAAGGGGGGGGGGGCGGCTGAGGAGCGGATTACTGAGATTTATGGAGGGGACGGTACAAACGATTTTGGGGCCTACAGCCCCATAGACAATTGGGGTATGTCCCCACAAACC